GTGATGCAGCAATCAGCTCAGGAGCCAACCGATAGGAAGTGTTTGTACATTCCTTTCTAAAATGCAAAATAAAGACAACAGAGAAGTAGCAGAAAGAGCAAAGGAATGAAAAGTGTGAATATCTCAGATAACAGTTCTGGTCCGACATGCTATCATCCACCTTTGCTAAGAGCCTTCCAGGTACACCATGTCCCAAGTCTCTTTCTAGCCTGGATCATGGCTGACATGCCAGCTGTCTAAACAGCTGGGTGCTGGGCTGCACAAGTTTAGGACCTGGGCTAGAAGCCACTGTCTATGCAGTTATCTTCCTCAGGATTTCAATCTTAGTGGTTTCCATGTTTCATAGTTCAAGATAAACCGACTTTGTACACATCCCGCTCCCTTCTAACACCTAAGTTCTCCCTATATGCTTTTCTCCACTCGTGTGTCCAACTATACTTAAGGAAAATAAAACACCCAAAATATATTTCCAAATATTAATAGCACCAAAATGATTTAAATTTCTTGTGAAGTAGACTGATAAGTACCAGATCCTTCAGCTGCTTTATGAACCGTGAGTCTGTGCCCATTAACTTAACAGAAGCAGATGGACATGAAGATAACATTGCTGCTCTGAGGACTGTGTGGGGGAAATCAAGCCAGAGGCACGAAAAACTTCGACAAGAGAGCAAGTTAGTAAACAAGAAGCGTAGCAATATTGAGTCAGGAAAAGGAAATGAAGTCCAGATATTCCATCGGCTTTTCCAGGCTCTCACAGCATTAGAACCATCAGAAAAAAGTTCCCAAGGGGGTGGGGCTGGGGAAGCGCACTGTTGAGAAACTGAGTGAATTCTTGGCCATCTGGTAGCAAACAAGTCCATTCCCACTGATTTTCCAATTACCTCTGAAATCAAAATTGTGTTCCTCAATATGCTTGATATATAGTTTGTCCTTGTACTACTAAACGATGTAGGAAGCTTGGAAATCAGGCCATGAGTGTGTTCATTTTGTCACTCTTGCTGATTTTATCTACTTGTGCTCCTGGTCCACAGTTTAGATATTAGGTCAGCAGCCTCAGGACCTCATCCTTCACTGAGATTCTCTCCAAACCTGCCCTTGCAGCTCCCAAAAGCAGGTGAACCCCGCTGTTAGGAAGGGGCAGCCTCTGAGTGCACAGAATTTCCAATTTCTTTGTTCACACAGGAAAACTTCAATGACATCAGAATTTTATCCCCTCCTTCTATTACCCAAATGCATAAGCATTGAAGAGGAACGAGTAGATACAGATGCTGCCCCTCCAATGAGAGGTGTCCCTCATTGACCCCAGGTCTCCCTCCTCAGTGCTGCCAGAAGCCGTGCACATGCCTGCTCATCATGGGCCACAAAAGTACCTGTTTTCCTGGCCAGGTGCCTCAAAGAGACACCAGACATCTTGAGGACAGCAATAGTGTCCAGTGATTTATCATCACTTATTTTTGTGGATAATTTTGGTATTTTTATGGGAAGAAGTTTATATCTGTAAATGGAAAGCCAGTTTACCATAACACACCCACGCAAACAAGAGTTCCGCCTGCTATGCCTAGTCTGACGAGGTTGTTCAGGGTGTGATCTGTGCAGAGGTGGGGGCAGCATGGGGATGGAGTCTATCACAGCCCATCACTGAACCTCGGCACAAATTCACAGCACTGCTTCTCCCATGACTGAGGCAGGTGCCACTGTAAGGCTTGTTTTTGTACTCAGAGACAAGAATATGGTCCAAGCTTTGGACAATGGCCAATCCGAAGTTGGCGCACCACAGTTTGGTTCTTCCTGAGGCCAACGAAGAGCAGCGTGTTCACCTGCCTCATGGGCCACGTGTGCTTTAGATTCAGTTAGTGCTTTTGTCCTCCCTCCAGTCCAGTGATTTTACCATCCTAATCCTGAGTCAACATTCTTTTAGCATTGTTTGCAGTATGTGATGAAGAAAAAAACACCATAACATGAAAAAGGGAAGAAAGAAAAACATTAAAAAGATGATTTCTTTGTGCTTTGTAAACTGCTATTTTCGAATGAGGTGGGTAAATCATGACTCCCAGGAGGCACCAAGCATACAACAGTCCTGCAATTTTCCTCCTTCTTGGGCCTGGGTCTCTGGTTCCCTGAGGAAGAATCTAACCTAAAGAAGGGTAATTTTCTATCTGACACCAATTTTCACCTGCCATTAAAAACAGGATCCTGGGCCGGCCCCGTGGCTTAGTGGTTAAGTGCACGCTCTCTGATGCTGGCGACCCCGGTTCAGATCCCGGGCGCGCACCGACACACCGCTTCTCCGGTCATGCTGAGGCCGCGTCCCACATACGGCAACTAGAAGGCTGTGCAACTATGACATACAACTATCTACTGGGGCTTTGGGGGGAAAATAAATAAAT